CAAAGTGCACTCTCTCTCTCTCTAAAGAACAAATCAGCTATATTCGTGACATTATTTGTTTTATAACATGGAATGAAATGTACCATCTTACTAAACCCGAATATAGAACCTCTACCACTTTTAATCCTAGATAGACCCAGTACAAAGTCCATAGACACATTCAACTCATGGCTCACTAAGAATGGGTAAGGGTGCATAAAACCATGTGGTAAAACCTTAGATTTAGTATTTTTACAAGTAATACATCTACTACAAATGTGATTTACATATTTTTTCATTATAGGTCAATCAAAATGCTCATGCAACATTTTTAAGGTTTTTGTAACACTGAAATACCCCATCAATCAACATGGTTTTCATGCACTATATAAAAATTCATGCATGGAGCAATTATATACATAATTTATTTTTCCTAAATGAATAACCATCATGCCTATAAAATTTATCTACTACACCTTTATCACATGACATGTATATATTAGAAAAATCTTCATCATTGACATACATATCCTTAACATATTCAAATCCAATTACTTTTGCACTTAAGGAAGTAAGAAGTACATACCTTTGGGATAATACATCAGTAACTATGTTCTCCTTACCTTGTTCATACCGAAAGACATAGGGAAAAGTCTCTATGCACTTTATCCATCAGCACGCCTCTTGTTTAAGTTACCTTGGTGCTTTAGATGTTTCAATGATTCATGGCCAATGTAAATTACAAACTCCTTTGACCACAAATTGAGTTGCCTTGTCTCTAGAGGTCTAACAAGAGCATAAAGATCTTTGTCATATATAGAATAGTTAAAAGCTGTCCCACTTGGTTTCCAGCTGAAAAAAGCTATTGATCGCCTATAATGCATCAAAACAGCTCAAATTCCTATTATAAATGAGAATATATTCTTGTTGAATGTCCTAACGAAATCCAACACTTTTTTTTTCAAAAGCTTTAGTGTGAGTAGAGTAACGAGTGTGCTAAAATCTTTAACAAAATGATTATAAAAATTAGCTAAACCATGAAAGTTTCTAACCTCAGTTATGTTTTTAGGCTTTAGCCACTCCTTGATGACTTTTACTTTCTCTTCATCCACTTCAATACCTTTTGCACTAACAATATAACAAAAAAAAATTACTTTTTTCATGAAAAAGACACACTTCTTAAAATTAGCTTGGAGTTTTTCTTCTCTCAAAATAACAAGCACATATCTCAAATGCTCAACATTCTCATCTAAACTCTTGCTATATATTAGATTATCATCAAAATAAACTACTACAATTTTTTGTATTAATGTATGCAAAACATGGATCATGAATCTCAAGTACTAGATGAGTTATAAAGATCAAATGGCATAACTAACCACTCATATAACCCATATTTAGTTTTAAAAGTAGTTTTTCATACATCTCATAATTTGGTGAGAGCCACTTTTAAGATCAAATTTACTAAAAAATACATAATACATGGAATTCATCGAGCATATCATCTAATCTAGATATGTGATGATGATACTTTATCGTTATATTATTGATCGTCTTGCAATCGATGTACATTATCCACGTCTCATTCTTTTTAGGCATAAATAGCACTGACACCGTACATAGACTCATGTTGTTCCTCACATATCATTTGCCCAACAGCTTCTCAACTTGCCTTTGAGCTCCTTTGTCTCATCGGAATTACTCATATAAGCTGGTCAATTTAGAATAACAGCTACAAGTACAAAATTAATTTAATGATCAATATCTCTAATGGATGATATTCCACTAGTCATTTTCTGAAGAATACATAATCAAATTCCTACAACAAAGAAATAGTCAAACTATGGAGGAATTTCTTACTTTTCTCAAGATCAACGAAGTATTTCTTTTACACCAGCAGTATAAGAGGCTGGTTTTCCATGAAGCCATATTATTCTCTCTCTTTTGCAAAAAAAATATTACTTTTGTTTTTCCTTTTCTCTTTAAAGGTTCTAGATTTTTATTTATTTTTTTTTTTTTGTGGTTCTACTCTTTTTCATGATTTTCAACCACCACTCTATTTTCTCACTTAATCTTTTTTTCTTGAAGTTTAAACCTCACTCTCATTTTTCATCTCTTTCTTTTTCTTGACTACCTTTCTTTTTAACTTTAGTTGATCCTCGTAGATCTGTTTTGATGTTAAAAAAATAATAATTGATATTTTATCACTCACAAAGTTGTACCTATTTTTAAACCCATCATGTATCACTTTTCTATCGTACTACCATGACCTTTCTAACAAAATATGACTAGCATGTATAGGAACCACATCACACATCACATCATCACTATACTCCCAATAGTAAAGCTCACTAGGAATCGTTTGTTAATCTTAACCTCTCCCCATTCACTCGACCACTATAACTTACAAAGTATATGATATTTTAGCATAAACAAGCCAAACTTCTCAACAAGGGTGATACTAGCCATATTGGCACAACTTCTTCCATCTACAATCATACTGCATATCTTATTTTTAACATAGCATCTAGTATGAAAAATATTCTCTTTCTACTGCTCCATATCATCTACCTTAATTTGTGTACTAAGAGCACATCTCACAACAAGAGATTCACCTTCTACATGGTACTCTACCCCATCACTATTACTATCATCTTCAATTATCACTTCTCCGTTTTCACGCATAATCATTATCCTGTTGTTAGGACATTTAGATGTAATGCAGCCTGAAACCCAGCATTTAAAACACTTGATATCCCTATTCCTAGAATGTTGAGAATCTGACTTGTGTTTATTTTTGCTAGCTACCACTTTTTTCCCTTAGTTGGTTTGATCTTACACTTTGAAATAGCCTCATCACTTCTATTATAACCCCACTTCGATCTCCAACGAGAATTAGACTCCGAAGAATACTTTGTCTCTCATTTTCTTTTCAATTGCCTCTCCACCTTTATAGCCTTGTGCACTATATCCCTATTTAGTTCCATTCAAAAACCTGGCCATTGTGATCTATCTATCCTTCTCAACATTAGTTCTAATCATGGCTATATCCATCTCCTTAGGGTAATCTTCTACACTCCTTAAACCTTGAGTAAGGCTCTATAATTTTTTATAAAAGTTCTTATATTAATGATTGGGTACAAACCTCCTCGTCATGAAAGCTTTTAATTTACCTTAGATTTTTGTAGGTCTTTCAGGATTTCTCCTCCTATTTGTCATCAATTGATCCTACCATATTATTGCATTATCAGTGAACTCTATCATTGCTAGCTTTACCTTTTTCTCTTTAGAATAGTTATGACAATCAAATATCAACTCCAACTTTTCCTCCTACTCCAAATAAATTTCATGATCGTTTCTACCTTGGAAGGAATGTATTTCCATCTTAATGTTCCCAAGGTTACCCTATCTCGACCTCTGGGGCCTCTTGTAGGCCTTTTATCATGAATATATCCTCTCTGCTTTATCCTACGCACTTTAGCCATTGGGATTTGATCATTTTCATTCTCATTATCAAATTCTGCCATAGGGATAGGATCACGCCTATTTTGCATCCTACTATTAGAAACTCTTTGTCGTTATCTCATTTTTAAGTTTGTAATCACCGTATCTTACTTATCTGCTATTTCTAATTTTTTCAAACACGACATTCATCCGTTCAAATTGTTATCGCATAGCTTTTAACATAAAATAATAAAGAAAAAATTGTTGTTCTCCCACTGAACCTCAACGAACATCAATTACAATTGAGCAATAAATACACATTTATTGAGGATCTCCTGCTATTATAGAATATATAAACCATGTTTGTTTGTTCCTAATTTAGATCATGTTTGACACTCATTCTCATTCTCATTTTTTTTCTTTCTTCATTTCAACCACACATTCTCCAAATAAAATAATATTACACACAAACCTAAAACTTTTCATTACTTTTCAATCACATATTCGTCCATCAATCACTATTCCAGAATTCATTCTTTCCTCAAAATGGGTGTCAAACACAAGCTTAATATAATGATAAAATTGGCATTCAACAAGGCCATTTTAGAGAAGAAAACAAAATCGGACTTCTTTTCATTTTGACCATTAAAAAAAGGAAAAATCTATTAAACTTTGGGAGGTTTTCATAAATGGCCGGTCAACTTAAAGATTTTAGGCCTTTTGTTAAAAAGTCAATTTTACCCTTAATGAAATGAGTTTTTATTTGCAAAACATATCTTCAAGTTTTAGAATAGTTTTAAAAACTAATTTTTAATTATTTTACTCGTGTTCATTAGATATTTCTTCCTCAAAAATTTCTTCATCAGTTTCTCTTTCTTCAACATTAA